GTGGTAACTGCAAAAGGGCTTAGGGGCTGTTCTCTTCAGGGAAGGGAGAGAGATGCAGCCTGGCCAAACTCCAGTGCGTGTGGTTTTAAAGATCCTCACTTGAGTTGCATTGTGTTGATGTGCAGCGTTAAAGAGCTGCCAGTTCTGCACCCATGCCTGGCTGAGTTACAGGGACTATTTTCAGCATCTCTCTGCCAGAAACAACATCTCTCATGACTTTTATCGTGGAACGGGTACGTGTTCATAATCAGCTTGGAAAATTGTTTCTGAGCTTAATTCTAAAGCCTCATCTTTGCTACAGAAACAACTGTACTCAGTAACACAGCTTTCCCTCCCTTTAGCAGCATGGGGAATGATTTGCCGTCCTGGGAAATTGGTCACAGCATAAGCCCACAGGGTTTTGCAACATCAATGTTTGATGCCTTCAGTTTAAGTGCTGAACACGCTGTACAAGCACAAGTGGACAGCCTGAACTGAGAACTCTTCTGTAGTGCTAAAATTGCCAATCATTTGGGGAACCCTGTAAGCTAATCAGTAGTTTGTGCAGCAATTTTACCAATTCACAGTGGGAGGCAAGGGGTTGATGCCAAGGTTAAAAACACTAGAGAATTTGTCTCAATTCTTTCAGTTCTGGTAATCTTAAGGATCACCTTGCACGTTCCTACAGCAAACTTGCTCAAGAAACATTTTATTTAAATGCCTTCACAAAATGTCTTTCTGAAACAGACCACCCAGGCTTATACTCGGCTTTGCGAGGGCAAGGATGTCCACCGCCAGCCTAAGACGAGGCAGACCAGCCATAAATGCATTGCACCATGGTGGCGGATGGCCTTGCCGTCACTTTTTGCCCTACACCTGTAACCAAACTGATGCTAGCTGTCCCTCACAGCTCTTTTCAAAGGAATCCCAAACTTCAGTCCTCCCAAGCTGCTTGGGATGCAAGGCATCCACGCAGAAGTCTGTCTCAGTCTGTACTTCTGCAAGCAAATATATCAATATGTTTCTAGTCATTTGGTTTGGCCTAAACGGAGCGTCAGCAGTTGCTGTCTGGCTAAGGTTCTAGCTGTGTTTCTTCAACGGGGAAGATGATTAAGGAAACAGCTTGCCTAGAGAGGCTGGAATCTCCATCACTGTCTAACCCATTCCGACATCTTGCCAAACATCTGGCAGGAATGAGTTAGGGAACTTAATTTCTGCATGAGGCAAGGTGGCAGGCTTAAAGACATCTTGAGATATCTTCTAGTCCTGCCTATGATAGTTTGCTGTCTAAATCAAATTGTTCTGGGATCACACATTAGAAACACATTGATAAGGCTCCGCCATGCAGCTAATGACGAGACTGCCTGTACCTCTTGAATCTTTCTATATGACCTCATTTCTACAGGATTTGTGTTTTTCACAATCATTCATGCATTTTACCTCCATTAAAGAATCCCCAGCTTATAGACAGGAAATTTAAATCTTTTTAATGTCCTTTTCCCCAGGTGAGGAGAAGGTTGTGCCAAAACCAAAGGTAGGTCTCAAGTCACGGGTTTAGCCTCCCTCCTTGCTTTGGACTGAAGGGCAGTGCCATGCTCCACGTTATCTTCAAGTCCGATTGTTGCACAGGCAATAATCCCATCACACTGGGCGACAGCAGCCCAGGTAAGCTACCCCCAGCCCACTGCCACTGTGCCCTATGGCTCTGCCATCAACACTGGGATGCCTCAGCAAATTCGCGGCTTTTGTTCTCATCTTTAGCACCCTCACAGGTTCACATCCCACAGACGCGACAGAAGCCTCATTTTTCATGTTCACAACGAGCTTCAGGAGAGTTACACTCGTCAGGTTCCTGCCCAGCTCCCTTGTCTTCAGAACAGAGAAGTCTGAAAGCCAAAATCTGCTCCTGCAAGAAATCAGAATGACGGTCAACACCACAGCTGTAGGAGCACCTCATTTGTTTAACTTGACTTTAAGTAAAGGAATCGCAGTCTAGCTCGTTGCCTTCACATAACCGTACACCACTGATTTCTGTGCGCATCCATGGAAACACAATATACAGAACAGCTATTTCTGTAAGACTTTTATTAAAAATACCGTCCACAAAGCAGATGCCCCATAACCAGACCTGACTTACAGTGTCTAGGCTTCGCCCTTTGCTACCTGAGAGGGCAGCTCAGGACTGCAAAGCCATTTATTTAGCAGCAGAGAGCCTTTCACGGGTGTCAGCACCCTCCCTTACACCAAGAGGCCTGATGCCTGCTCAGGACAGCCATAGCTCTGTTTGCATCACAGGAAGCATCTTCCGAAAGGACAATTTATTGGAAAACTAAAGGATCTTCACAGAAATGCGTTACAGTGGCAGGAGCAAAGAGAATGGGCAATTTCCTACTTCCTCTCATTTGAATCAACACAGTAATTTTTCTTCCGGGGCCATACATATATTCTGCAAAACTCCATTAGCCAAATAAAAACAGTGGTAGGTCATTTAGATTACGTACATGAAAAAAAGAAAAAAACCTATCCTGAAGTACTGTATTCTAGTTAGAAACCATACCTACGGGATTTACTGGGAGCAGCAACTCATACCTCTTCCTTCTTCGGTTATAAGCACCACAGAACAAGTTCAGCATAAAATACTTGAAATCAGATTTTACTACGCAAACACAGTTTTCCCCCATTAAAAAAATAGATTAGAGGAAGATATAAACATCTTATTTATTAAATCAAATAGAAATGCAAAATATATTTCACATGCCTTACATGGAAAAGAGATGAACTTCCAAGACTTTAAAGCAAGACTGTGTCTGTTGACACGCAGGAAATAGGAACATTATAAACAGTCACAGAGAGGAGGAAGGACTGGGGGGAGGTGACATGGGGATGATGGGCAGTTCCTCCCCACTCTGAGAAAGCTCTGCTAAAAACAAGAACGGAGTTTATGCTAAGCAAGCATCACAAGCCTGAAATGAACTTTAACATATAGTTATTTTGGAGGAAGTTGTCTAAAGAAGTACAATTGGCTAATAACTAGTCAAAACAGTGATCTAAATTATGTATACCATACTCATATGAAGTGGACATGGGTTTATTTTTTGAACATCAGTAGGGACAGTAGGAGAATCGGAAACACCAAAAAAAAAAGCTTTTAAAAGCTGGATCAATCCACAGCCACATTCTTTGTGGCTCCACTATTAAAATAAGACAAAAAGATGAAAAATAGAACTATTTTTCTAAATATTTTAATGACTTTGTCATCCTCCAACTCTTCCTCCCTCCTACACACAATTTCTTGGAAGCTGAAATGACACTCAACAGCAAATACAAAGCATACACGAAGAGTATATTCCACAGTTTTCCTAAAGAGTCAATAGTCCAGCAATTTTAAAGTGATCTATGTGCAAAAAATAAACACATGAAAGTTTCTTAAAAAAAAAAAAAATCCACTGCAGCCTCAACTTCTACTTAAAAAAAAAAATCTGAGGATTAGCACTAAATTTCCCAGTGGAGGACAGATCAGTAACTGCAAGTACTCTGCCAAATCTGTGACTTGGTGTTGCAGAACTGTCAACATCCCAAGTTTACTACCTGCTGGCAAGTGGAAAACAGACTGTATCCCCAAAAGAAGTGGGAAAACCACTGTTCATAAACTGGTCTTCTGATATACATAACCATACGGTGCAGGTATGTATTCAGAGACTGCTACCTACAGCTGAGAACAGTCCTCCCAGCATGACTAACAGTAAATGATTAACAACAAAATGTGCAAGATTCGTAGGAGCAGTATTTGAAATGTTCCTGACTGCTCAATGCCCCTAGGCCTAAACTATCCCCTCGTTAATAGTGGTGTAAGTCAGGGCAGCTCTGGTGAAGTTACAGTAGAAATCGCTGTGCATGAGGATTTCTGTGTGAGAAGAACAGTCCCTTGAACTACAGACTAGTTCAGTCCTGACCGCACTACAATAGGGAATTGTGTTTAAAACCATGAGTAATCGTGTAATCATCTCCCAGCATAGTACTTCTTTTCTGCACACATGGAATGTAAATGGTCAAGATTTACAACTGATGATTTTGCAGATTTAATGGATTGTATTTCTTTAATGGTTCTGGCAATGCAAACTCAAGTTAAAAAAAACAACACCAAAAAAACAAAACTAAAAAAAAAATCCCACGCTCGCTGCTGTCTGCTTTTTTCTTTATTTGATGACTTATCTGGCACACAGTTAGGGTTTTCTAACAGTGCGTAAGTGTTCAAAAACATCAAATTACTTGGAGTGGAGGAGAAGGGTGGTCCTACGGTTAAAGTCCAGGTGTGGAAGAGACACCACAATAGGTGATAAAGCTAAATCACGTTTGGGTAAATCGTAACTCTTATGTCTCTGTCATTAGTCTAGTAAATGGAGCAGACACCCCAGTTCCTAAGCAAGGGCTGTGAAACAAAACAATCACCAACTCATAAAACGCCTTGAGTTTCCCAGATGAAAACTCGGAAGAGGAGCAAAACATGAGCAGTAAAGTCACTTGGTGTTTAATGGCTTTCGAAGTCACCTCGCAAAACAGTTCAAATATCAAAACTATCCCCAACTTGAAAGCCAAGTGGCAGTATTCTCCCTTTTACCACCCACTGCTGCGTGGGACAGAGGAGCGTTATGGAAGCTGAGGGGGAGACCAGCTGCGGGAACGTGACCAGTCTTTGCCGGTGTGAAGGAGTAGCACACTGGACCACAGAAGAAATCTCACCCGACAACATGAGGCCTTGAGGATGAAGAATGAAGGCAAACACACTTGGCCTGATGCAAACCACATACCTTAATGCAGGAAAATGGTGGTTCTGGTGCAGTTCAAAGCACAGCCAAACTGGTTCCGTTTGCTGAGGATGGCTAAACACTAACAACACACATCAACATGTGTTTCAAGTGCTGTTAGAACCATACCATATACAACATTTATCCTTGTTTTTCCCCCCATAATGCACTAAAGTAAATCCAGACCTTAAGGAATAACTTGCATAGTAAGAAAAGGTCATCAATTTAATCATTTACTTTAAGCAGGCAAGCAAATTTGTAAACATTCAAAAGCGGCAGCATCCAAGTTACAAACAATTTAAGGAAAAAAAGAGTTGAGATTAAGGTTCTTTATCCTCAAAAATTTTGGGAATAATCTTTTAAAACACTGCAAACATTGAACGCTCAGTTACACCTCTTCTAACTCTGCTAGTAGTCCTGCCTTCCAAGGAATTCTGCTCTCTAAAACTCATGGTCTCACAATTGCCATACTTTTTAGCATTTGCCGTTTGGAAATCAGCTACCGGAGCATTTCACCTCAGCCTAAATCCCGTTAGCAAAGGGAATGCTTGTGTCTTGATTCAACACCTCTTTAACTTCCGAGGGCAAAGCGTCAAAGAGGTGATCTTCCACCACGAGCCCGCTTTTCCTGAGAAGCTGACACTGCCCCAGCGTGGCTGGCAGACGGTCCAAGCAGTTTCCCTTCAGTTCCAGATGAGTCAGCTGCAACAGTTGACTAACTTTATCTGGGATTGAGGTAATACAGTTTTGTCCCAGACTCAAAGTCCTCAATTTAACACATTTAAACAACTGTTTTGGCAAAATGTCGACTTTGTTTCCTGTGATGTGAAAATGCTGCAGATTTTGAAGCAAACCTATTTCCACTGGAATCAATGCAATTGAGTTGTAGCTTACATCTAAACACCTAAGTTTCTGTAAACTGAACACTGCGGCTGGTAAGGATTCGAGTTTGTTATTGGAGAGATAAAGAGACTCCAAATTCTTTATGTGGGTAATGGAGGAAGGAATGTTGACTATTTTATTGTGCCACAGCTTTAAACAAGTCAATCTTTTTAAGTGCTGGAAACTGATAATTTCTTCAATTGTGCGAATGCTATTTGACTTTAAATCCAGTTCCTGTAAGTTAGAGAGGCTGAAGATGGCGTGGGGAATTCTCTCCAGTTCACAGTTCTGCAGTTCCAACTCCGCAACATTAGTCATTTTCTTAAGGCTATTGAGTACCACAAGCTTAGTGCCGTCATTATGAATGACTAGTTTTGTCAGATGTGGTGCCACATCTGTGATATTGGGGGGAATTTTGGTCAAATTGCTCTTCACGTGGAGAATTTTAAGGTGTCTCAACTCTCTGAGAGATTCAAGCCCTATCATTTTATTGTTTTCAGAGTTCAAGTTGCCTATCAAGTACAATTCACGGAGGTTTTTGAGCAAATACACCCACGCAGGAATTTCTGCAACATCTGTGAATTTCACATGAAGGCATCTCAAGTGGTCCCGGAGGAAGCTGAAGGCAGTCTGCTCGACCTTCGCAGGGCAGTGGCACAGATGAAGCTCCTGAAGATTTGTCATCTGGGAAATTTTCGCTGGGATTTTCGCTTCAGGAATCAGCTCCAGTTTCAACACATCCAGATCCGTCAGATCAAACACTGCATCGGGGACCCCCGACAGCATGAAGAGATGCAACTCTTGCTTGTCCTGGGCATTGCGGGAAACATGTTGCCGCAGCTTTTCAAAAGTCCATTCATGGTTTAAACTAATTTCCCGTAGTTTGTTCTCACTTACCTCTGACAAAAAGACACCAAATCGCTTAGAATACAGCTGGTCGTACTGATCTACCATATGCAAGAGAAATGCAAAATCATTTTTGACATCAGGGATATCACTGAAGCTACTCTCTTCTCTGACCTTTTCAAAGGAATATTCTTTTAAAGGTATTCGGAACAGCCAGAAAAGCGTGTAGAGGCAGATAAAACCATAGACACAAATGAGGGAAATATAGCTGATAAGCAGCTTCTTCAACATGTAAGCCATGTTGTGTGTACATTCAAACTGTGTGTAGCCAATCAGGTGTTCCACTTTCGGGTTGCAGATGTGTTCAAAACTAATGGTGTTGACAAAGTTTGCGGTATAGCAGAGAATAAATATGAACTTGACAGTCTTGATGACAGTCTGGCCAACATAGAGCTTGTAAATCAGATCACTGTCCTCCACGTGAGCCCGGAACTTACGGACTTTCTCAAACAGGGCTTTGGCTTGTTCTCCATCTTTCTTATCTAAAATAGTGACGCTGGGAACCTCGATCATCGGCTTGTCAGCTGAAAATTTGAAGCCAGACTTTGTTATCATGGGAGTGCTGGCACTTGGGCTTCCCTCATCACTGCTAGTGGAAACGTACTTGGGCAGGGACTGGGCACCAGTTAACCTCTGTTTGTTCTCCTCAGAGTCCTCACATGCTGTTTCAGACAATGCTTTTGTAGTCCAAGGGGACTCAAAGCACTTCCCTAATATAGACACAAAATGCTCAATTTTTGAGCAAGTCTTGGGATACTTGAACCAAAAATTGCTGCTGACTATTAAAATGATAGTATGGATGAGAACAAGATAGGGAAAATACTTTGAATACCAAGGAAGAGCCAAATGATAGCACATCTGGTTAATAAATACGTATTGCTGAAAATCCAAATTTGTTTTACGGCCTGAAGAATCTTTCTGCTCCTTCTTCAGCTCCTGGCCTGATTCAGTGGGTTGATACTGAGAAGAGGTAGCTCTGCTCAGAGGTACGTCAGGTGTTACAGTAGGGGCACTTCCGAAGGAAACCGTTCTCATTGATGCTTCTTCTCCTTGACCAGTGGTTGTTTCAACAGTGGTAAAGTCAGCCTTCCCTGACGTGCCGGGTTGTGCTTTTGAATTTACAGTAGACTGCAAAACTGGCAAGCAGACCACCTGGTCTTTGGTCAGCTGCATGGTTCCAGCAAAAATGGCAACCATTAACATAACAACAGCTAGATAATCCATAAATACATCCCACCATGGTTTCAAGATACGATAAGTTGGCTGGATGTCATTGAGCGATGCAACTTCTGCAAGGGTAAACATTCCTACAAGAGAACAAAGACAAAAATCAGTATTGTTGACTGGTGGGCAGGTTATTTTACCGTTTAATAACAATCACACCATGACATACAGATCCTCAGAAGGTTCCAGTTTTCATTAGGTTTTGTTGCCTGTCACACATTGTCCATCATTCCACTCAACACTCTTTTCTCAAAGGATATGTACTGAAATGATGCATTACTTTAGCACCAAAGCAGAAGTCTTCTCACTTCAGGCCAGATGATATTTACGTATCTTTGCCACTTCACAGAACAAGCACCAAAGGACTGCTCTGTGCAACTGAAATATCTGAAAGGTAAAGTGCTGTAGCTGATATGTATTAATAACATGAATAGCAACAATTGATTACATTGCACAAAATGTGATCCTGTAAAAATGACTGCTTGAGCCTGAACACGTGAAATCCAGCACTAACGTTATTTTGTAGTACCTTGCATTTAAACAAAATAGCATTTGTTAAATACTTTGCACCTTGCTCATGACTTGCACAGCACATTTTAGGTCTCTTGCTACATTATGAGCAAGGTCTTTCATTTCTTTCCATCTAACACAGTAACAGTCAATGTCTCCCAGTCCTTGCTATTGAGCATCCACATTGCTTACCAGATTGATTGGCTCCTTTCCCTTAAGTACCGCTGCACAAGTGAAAGTCTTGCAGTTACTACGTGAATATTTGGCACAATTTTTTTAACGTGTTTGGCTGTTTTACAGTGAGAAACAGTTACCACGTATTCATTGGACCAAATGGTACTGTGTAAGTTTTTTTCCCCAATTAATGAAGAAATCCTTCCTCAGAAAAACCCAACCCAGCTAACCAAGAAAAAAACCCCACAACTCTTTCTTAACATAACAGGGGAAATATTTTTTTCAGATTATCATCACAGCCTGGTGTTTACAGGAAGCTGGTTAGCCCAGGTAGCACAAGAGCAGGCTGCAAGGCTTTCACTTTAAATTAAACATATGCACTGTGAGACAAAGTGGCAAACTGAACATGTGAGAATCCAAACCTCTTCGCAGCTTTAAATAGCTTGCTTTGTTTTTTGTTTTGACAAAAATCGAGAGGACTCAACTTATCAGCTTTTTAAAAAATAAGCTTCCTGTGCAAGCAGGATGTGGTAAAATCATCATTTTAACTGCTGAACTTCTGACCCAAATTTGCCATTTCTAAAGTAAAATATGCAGCTTGTGTGCACACATGGAGTGGGGAAGGAGACAGGATGTACATTATCGCACAGAGTCTAGCTCCCTTCGGTCGGGAGAAGAACAGCTTAGCAGAGCACAAGGAGATCAAAGCAGGCAATATAAAGATGCGTCAGATTTATTATTTTTAACTTGCGGCATACCAATTCGTACAGACCTGCACCTTACAAACCCTAAAGGCCAGCGTCACAGGCAATGAATGTACAACAGGATCGTTTGATTATTTCTAGCCTACATTTCTCTGAAGAAGAGAAGACATTTCTATACGCAGAACTCAAATATCAGCTACTGCCTATATGGTCAAAGGCATGCATTAGCCCCTCTCCTTCCCCGCACCAGCGCAAGCAGCTCCCGTGATCTCGGTCTGCAGGAAAGGCCGGCGGTCGCCGTTACAGAGCCCGGCACGGAGCTCACGATGAAAGCATCTCCTCCACCACAGGGAAGGATCCAGCCCCTGGCCTCCCAGGCTCTCCTCCAAGGAGCTTTTACCAGCTTTGCATACCTAGCCTGGGATTTGGTGAAGGCAGCCAAAGAGGAGAGGGTTTCATCTCACTGCAGCACTCATCTCAGTTGGTGCTCTTGGCACAATTGCCAAAATGTAAAAGTTAAGGCTCAGTTCCTCAGGGACTGGGCAGAAGGAACTTCCAGCTCTCTCTTTCTTTATTTTCCAGTGGGCAAATGAATGTCAAATACTCCCCCCTCACCAGTAACACAGGCTGTCGGGGTCTTACGGTTCTCCCAGCTCCCCAAGAGCCTCCTCCCGGCAGCACGGTTCCCGAGCCTTTCCCCACGCACCTCCCCGGGGCTGTAGTTGCTATAGGAAGTGCTGAAGGACACAGAGCAGTAACACACCCCGCAGCTAGCAAAGCCCCACAGTGCTTCACTTGAAGTTAGCAACAAACTCCCATTTTCTTTTATGTCTCCCGGTGCTTACCTAGACCGAGTCACAGCATGACTGCTTGCCCTAGAATTGCTACCTTTGACATTTAAATAACAACCGTGTGCAAAAGAATAGCGTTAGTCATTTCTACTAACGTGAACAGATAGATGTAAAAAGGACCCTCCTTACTCCTAAGGCACAACTGCCCGCTGCCCAGGACAGGAGAAATAAAACAGCACCAGAGGTGGTTTTTTTTCCCTGCATGGATTTTTTTTTCTTTCTTTCTTCTTTTTTGGGCTAAAACAGCACCAGAGGTGTTTTTTTTTCCCTGCATGGATTTTTTTTTTTTTCTTTCTTTCTTCTTTTTTGGGAGCTGTTTGGAAGGGATGCTCTCGCGGATCTCCAGGCTGGTTTTCACTGTGGTCTCACCCACCTTGGCAGCCACAGGAACGTCTCGTCCACTAGGTTACTAGTGCAATAGCTGAACAGAAGAGCGCAGAGCCAAACGCTTAGCAAGGACAAGTCATGCATACGTACTACAGCCGTGCCTCTGCACACACAGCTATGCAGTGTGCAGGGAGAAGGAGGCAAGCAGGATGGGAAGGAGGAATGAGATGACGGCTGTAACAAACACGGGTAGCTGCTACTGCTTGTTCCTCGGGGGCTAGCCTTTCCCTCAACTTTGCACTAGCTAATTACATGGGAAGTTACTTCATTGCGGTTTGGGGCACAACCTGCAGAATTCCTTTCACAGAATGGAGTTGATTTTTTTTGCTTCTGCCATGAGAACACGTGGATAAAGCACTGAAACCCAAGTGCTGCAGACGTGGCTGCTCTAAGCAACTGAAATAGTGGAAAAGAAATGAGAGAGCACAAAGTGGTTCCAGCTGGAGACTTAGAAAGAACAATAAAAAAAGCTAAAGCTAAAAATCACCTCTACCAGACCTCTGTCTCGCACACACACAACATGATTTCAAAAAAGGTTAGGAGACACAACAGAGCCCGTGTAATCCTCTTTGTGAGGCTGTAAGCAGTGTGGTGTAACAGGAGCTTTACACCGAGAAGTACCACATTCAATGCTCTGAACATGTCTTTTCTTTCAAGTTACTGATACTCACAGAAGAGCTGCTGCTTTGGCAGAGATTAGCAGTTACAAACCACAAAAAACCCCTCTGTGGCATTACTGACTAACACTGTGTCTCATGACAGAGAGACAGACCTTCTTCTAGCTAGCAAAAATCAATTCCAGGAGCTGAAAACAGGTTTCTGTCCTCACATGTCTGAAATATTTAGATGCTCTGAGTCTTAAAAACCAAAGTGAAAAACTATAAACCTACGCATAGTATAAGACACATTCTGAGTGACAGGCTGCAAATAAATTTGATATTTTCTCTCTTAAATCCATCATTACATGTATTGGTGTTTGATTTTACTAAACTAATAACCAGAGAAGTTAACTTTTATTTTTGCAGATGCTTAGAAATCAAACTATTAAGAGGTACTCAGAACAACAGGTCTCTACAGTATTGTAATGGGTTTGGGTTTTCTTTATTCCACGGTTAAATTTAAACTATTTAGAGCTTTTAAAACCTGCTTTTAAAGCCTACTGTCCAAAATATTCCTTGGAGTAGGTAGATAGTATTTTCATCGCTAATTTTCACCTCCTTTTAAGGGTGCCAGATTGGGGTTGGGGTTTCATGATAAGCTGCACTGATGACATGGCAGTAAGGAAAAGGAAAAAAAGAAAAAAGGAAAAAAAAGGGAAAGAAAGTCTGTGTCTGTGTCTGGCAGGCAGAGCCTACAACTCCCTGCCGTAGGCGGTCTCCCCTCAAGACCAGTGCATGCTCTATTCACAACCCCAATGCAAAAAAAGGCTGTAAGCACGTAGCTCAAACTGAAGAAACAAAGTACTATGCAGCTGAAAAGCCAAAATGTCTGATTTCTCATGGTGAAAACATGCATTTCTTTCAGCCCTTTTCAGGGCTCGCAAGGCACTGAATGGACCTTGAGGCTCAGCAGAACATAGGGTTTTGACACACTGAGATCTAGACCCGAACTAGAAAACTATGGTTCTTGCAGAGAAATAATTTTTAATTCCCAATGTGGAATTTCAGGACACAATCTCCTTTTTAAAATAGCATATTTTAGTTTGGTTTTAATAAGCACAGATTTTAATTCAAGCCTATTGCAGTATGATCTTTAGGGCTGCACAGCTACACAAAATAAGGAAGACCTTTAATTTTAGCAAATAATCCTTTCTCCTCCGAAACCCTTTGTCTCCAGTTCTGCAACTTGGATGATGCTCTAGGATAACATTAACCTCTCCGAGCTCCATCCGTTACCTCCAGCCATCTACTGGGTGCATTCTCTCTCCGGGGAGGGGGGGAAACAACTTTACCCCAAACACATGCAACTATTCTAAGCACAACTGTTTCTTGCTACCTTCTAAGATTTTAGGTGAGAAAACATAAAGTTCTGAAAACAGCATAGTACTACCTCCCTTTTCATTGCTAACGTGATACAGAGCTCTAGAACTAAACATACTCGGTTTATTTTGCAGTTTTGCAGAAAACAATATAAAAAGAAAAAAATTGACAACGACAATACAATTGTTCTAAGTTACAGGCCCACGTTAAATCAGCAAGGGTAACAACTAATTTCATAAATCTTACTTCCTACCCAATTATAATCCTTTCATTAGTCTTTAAAGAAAAGTTGTAATAGAAAGAGCTCAGAATGTGATTAACCTGCTGAATTTTTCTGACATATTTCAGACTATAAATGCTGAAATACGAAGGGGACATATTGGGGTTATTTCCTAAGAATCTGTTCTAGCTTAAATACAGAAGTTAGAGGAAAAGGAAGCAGCAGATTGGTATGTCACTAATGTTTATTTACATCC